TATTATGCTGGACTTCTACATTTGCGGCAGACATTTCTAAAAGTTTTTACTACTGAGCAATAGCAAACATTCCCATTCTTAACCTTTTGCCAGTGAGTCAATGGTTCAAGAACTCTTAAAAACTGTGGAAAGATTTAAGTTGCAATTACTTAAAAAAAAATAAAAAATCTTCGCAGAAACCTTCAATAAAAGAGAAAATGCAATTCCAAAAATTTTGCTACAAGCAAGCAAATTATTCGTTGTTAGAGCTGTCGGTGTCATTGTAGCACTCGAGGTCGAGGGAATTACAAATCTATTGTAATTTCTTTCTTTTCTTTTTTTTAGTTACTAAAAATTTGGCGTTGTCGATAGAAGAAGTGGTGAATGCAGTCGAAATAAATATTTTATATTTCTATAGAACAAATTTAAGTAGTAACAAGGGCACAAGTACATTCTAAATATCAAGGTTTGTTCAAGGTTTGTTGTTGTTTTCGGTCTTCATTTTGCGAAATATAAAATATGTGCACAATTAATTACCGAAATTAAATGAAAAAAAATTTATAAACTTTCAACAAAACAAGAGTTAAAGTTCATAATAATAAAAAAGACATAAAAGGCGAGCTGGAAAAGGCGAGACGAGGAACGAGGCATGATAAAGTGGAAGTTGCAAGGAGTAATTATGGCGTGCTGCTGGCAGCTGTCGACAGCAGCTTTTTAATATCAACCAACATTTTTAGAAGGAGTTGAGAATAAAACAACAGCAGCAGTCATTTAAAAACAAATAAAATATGAGTTCACATAAATAATTATGAGTCGTTCATTTGAGCTAACATTCGGGGTTGTCAGGCAAGACGAAAATTTGCTCGCAAACAATACTAAATATAAAGAAAAAACATTTAATTATAAAAAAAAAATTAAAAAGAAAACAAAACTTGAAGGAGTTAGCGATAATCGTACAATAAAGTAAACTAAAGCTCGTATTGTAAAAGTTATATTTTTTTTTTGAATTTTTTCTAGTAATAAATGAAGTATATGACGATAGTTGTGAATAGTTACAGCATCTTATTAGAACCACTTGAATTCCATGTAAAAATCATTCACTCTTTACAACAAACAGAAAAGCAGTACTCATTGTTCTGTAGCATTCTCCATTAAAGGCAACTGTAATGCTATTTTCATTTTCAAAAATATGGTACAATAATACACTCCTTGAAATGTAAACCATTCGCAAGAATATCCCATGTGAAACCTTAATAAACTCTTTGTTCTTGAGAAAGTATCTGGAAATCGATGGTTCATTAATCGTTCAATAATGTACATTGTGACCGAAAGGTTTCCGGAAATTTTTAAATAAAACGCAAAATTCTTAATCTTCATCAATATTTATTTTATCTCCTTCAAAATATGCTCCATTAGAAGCGATACACAAATGCCACCGTTTCTTCCAATCATCAAAACATTTTTTATAGGCGCTTTCCGGTATGGCTTTGAGTTCCCTCTGCGAATTCTGTTTTACGTCTTCTATGGATTCAAAACGCGTTCCTCTGAGTGGTAATTTGAGGTTGGGAAACAGGAAAAAGTCACACGGTGCAAGATCAGGTGAATACGGTGGCTGTTCGATGGTATTTATTGAATGTTTGGCCTTAAAATCGTTGATAATGTTGAACAAATTGAGGTGAATCGGAACAAGCCGGGCGTTGACACGTCGCATACACAAATTGTCCACCAAAATCAAACGAGCCATCTCACGACCGATGCCTAGCTCTCGTGCTATCTCTCTAACACTCACATGAGGATTTTTGAACACGATTTCCTTTGCCTTTTCAATGTTTTCGTCGGTGGTAGAGGTCGAAGGTCGTCCAGAACGCGGCATGTCTTCGACGGTCGTACGACAGTCCTGAAAGGCTTTGTACCACTCATAAACTTGAGTTTTCGATAAAACTGATTCCCCATAAGCCTTTTGTAGCATTCGCAACGATTCTGCACACGAAATTTCGTTCGAAAAACAAAATTTGATGCAAACTCTTTGTTCAATATTTTTTTCCATTGTTTTTTTCGCAACGCACTACTGAGGTGAACTGGTTTCAACAGCTGCCGTAAACGAACTGTCCGACAGATCGCGCTACATTTTTGGCATTAGTAATTAAGGACAGTGCTGCCAAACTACATTAAACTTTAAAATATCGAAAAATATACAGCGCGCGAATTTTAAATGAGAATTTCCGAAAGCTTTTCGGTCACAATGTAAATGTGCGATATTTTGATTAAAATGTTTATATATGTTTATATAAATGTTTATATATTGTACACTTAATTTTTCTATTATTATTATGGCACTAGCTATTTTTTTCTTCAAGTATTTATTTCAGTTACACCCAGAAGTTGTGAGAGATCCAAGTATAAAATTATATTAATATATAAATTCATTTATTATAATGAGTTAAAAGGTCTTATTTTTAGAAAGTTTTTAGAATTGTGACTAAGAACGTAGTCATTGCTATCATTTTTTGTTGGCTTAAATAGTTGCAGTAGTGACAGAATTACGTGCATGCAATTTATCCTAATAAATCCTAATCCCGTTCCTGCTTCTGATGCTACCGCAACGCTTTCCCTTGGGAAACTCATTCCTTTCTATTTGAAGAAGCTCTATAAGCATAAACACAATTTGTAAATGCCAGCATGGAAATGCATGTCAGCAAGAAAAGCCAAACCCAAACAATAAGAATAAGAATTGCACACACAATGACAGACAGCTGAATGAATAGGTGGTCATATTTTCTGCAATATTGTTAAAGTTTTTTGCGCATTTAGATTGTATCAATTTTCAGAATCCACCTGAAAGAAATTTTTTGCAACACAATCAAATCAACTCGAACAATTTATGCCTGCAAATGGCCATAATGCATACGATTCATAGTAGCATTTGTATCCTTGGCTTTAAAGGTTTTGATTTTCACAAAATAGATGTGATTTCTATTTTTATTCGAAACGAGCTTGTATTCAATGAGCAATGTATGAAAGATGGGTTTATATACAAAAACTACTTCGGTTTCGTAATCCGTAAATCAAAGTCAATAACTTTCCAAATTAAGTTACACTCAAAACCAAATAAAAACTAAAATACATTTAAGCCCATCAGCAAACAAAAATGCAGGGCACACCTCATCAATCACAGGGGCTGTCAGCCAGAGATACGAGTCCGAATGGTAGAGTGAGATGTTCGTTTCACACTGATATGTTCTCATATATGTACATCGTTATACGACTTTCTTATAAAGAATTTGGAGTTTGCATTAACTACCACTGACATTTTACGCATTTTGGCTTATCTTTATTAGAATAACAACTTAAACCAAAGCTGAATTAGTTTTGCGAACCCAAAAAACTAACAATTTTAAATGTAGCTACCGTCTGCCTACTGGCGCTTTTATTATTAATCGCCTTCCCCATTGGCGTAAAGAATGGGTGTGGAATTCAAATCTGAAACAATTCGCCCAAGTTTTGTTTCATTTTTATGGTTTTCTACTGTCGATCCGATTTTCATTTCAAAACAAATGCTAGACACATGCTGGTATATCCTTGAATGAAATTTCGACAGCTTGGCTTTATACTTTATCAAAATATTTTACATTTCAGTTAATCGAAGTTTGTGAGAAAAGCAGAGGGACGCACTTTGCCTACATTAAGCGGAAAATATGAATATAATTTGACTTGGCTCATAATCAGAAAAGGATACTCGCTCGCGGCGTTAGGACAATTCAAAATTATTGTGACTGCTTGTGTCAATATTTTGATAAGCCAACTCAATTGCCTAAAATATCCAAAGCAGTGAAGACTGCAGGAGTAAGTCGCGTAATAAATTTATTCTAAGTGTAACACATAAGGCTGTCACCTATTACCGTACTATTCTTTCTAAGGGAATAAGGGAGATAAGCACAGACGTATGAATTAATGAATCTGTACCGGAATTCTTGTCACAGTGCTGCTTAAATCAAAGCAGATACATATGGGTTTGTTGTGCTGATTTTATTTAGCCCAGTTACAAGTTGTTATCAATGGGAGTAAATTCTATATCAGCCACATGCTACCCACAAAGCCACTACGTCTCAGAGGCAACTTCGGAGGCTGCTATATGTGTTTGTGTTTTGCATGGGTTTCGTCCTTGTTTGTTGTCGCGCATTTCCGCTTAATTAAGTTTCTTAATTAATTGTGAAATATTTTAGTTGCCTTCGAAAAACATATTTTGTAGTTTTTTGCTTCAGCTTTTTTTAATTAACATTCTTTAAATATTTCTCTACTCGTCTTTTCAAGTAACATATTGTGCACGTGCTAATCCTTAGCAAAACTGTACGTCAAGCGACTTGAAAGGTGAATTAGATTTTTGAAATTTTAAAAGGAAAATTTAATTTAGCTTGCAATTCATAATTAAAAATTTTAAAGCATTGAAAGCATTCAAAATAAAATGTTTCCAGAGCTATTCTAATAAAAAAACTTGGTAGCAATCTTACTGAATCCTATTTAGAACTTTACTTTATGCCTCCATAACCGTGTCCAGTTATCGATGATAGAATTGTATTGGTATCGATCTCCAACTGCTACTTTAGATATTAAGTTATACTCAATACGCTATGTTGGACATGTTATATTTATTCTTCATTTGAGCTCTTATCAGATCGAAAACATTTTTAAAATGATGTGATAATATTAAAACTGGTATTATAAAAATGATGTACTTTAGTAGTGAAATGATTTGAAAAAAAAGATTAATTTAAAAATAGTAAATGGATGAGATTAACTCTGTGAATGTGTCGGATGCAGGCTTTGCTACCAATTTTTCTTCACTTGTCTAATATTAAATCGATAGATGAACTAAAGTAAAGTATGATTTAGTTTTGCAAAATAGCAACATTTGTTAACTACTTCAAGTAATTTAAGATAGTTGCAAAATAAAAAAACATTTGATTACATCCATTTGGTAACACAAAACTACAAGTTTGTTCACTTTAAAGATATAATCCAAAATGTCTGAATATACAGTGAAGCAAGTAAATTGATTTGCCTGTGTGTATAACATTAGTACAGACAGAAGCTGAAGTGGAAGTCTAAGTTCGGCAAGAATCGATAATCGTGAAAGATGCACTTAAACGCGAGATATTCGAACTGTCTGAGATATTCACTATGCACTTAAATCGCTTGAGACGCTCCAAGCTGTTAAACACAGAATTTGTATAAGTTTTTTTGATAACATCAAACTTGTGAGGAGGTTATTTTTGGGCTGTATTTTTCATGAACAGAATAATTTTATAAAAGGATGCTCATACCAAAATATTGCAGCAGAAACGGAGTTTTTGTATATAGCAACAATGGATACAACACCGTATGTGGGTAAAAACAAATATTGATACAATTTATCTTGGGCTTGCAAAACTTTTCTTTATTTGAGTTCAGTAACGACTTCGGCTTACACAGGCTTACAGGCAGACGCAAACACAGATACAATTCTCTTGCTCCCGCTGGCGCTCCGGCACGAAACTTACTGTGTGTAGGTAACACTCATCCCACAGCATTTATCGACTTAAATTTACGAGTGTGTCATTATTTTGATAATTTACGTGCACATGTTGGAGCAAATTATTTTTATCATTTTTATTCCGGTTTTGCTTATATATTTCATTTCATTTGATTCTCCTTCATTCTATTTATTTATTTTAAACTTTTATTTATTTTTACTTCCATTCATACACAGAAGAGGATGTAGGAGGACGAGTGTGCTTGTGTGTACCCTCGCTTCAGCTTTATTAATGTGCCTAGTGTCTTGTATCTGGTATCTGGTATGTGGTATGTGGTATCTGGTAGTTTGTTTTTGTTTTCCACATCTCGTATCAATTTCAGTTCGGTTTGGTGTAAAATTGACAAGCGTGTGAATTGCTGTCGATTTATCGACGCACGTGTTTAACATTTTAGCCAATAAAAGCTTTTAAATGTAAAAACTGTTAATATTGCTTAAATAATTGCATTTAATTAAACGTTTAATTTAAAGCCACCGCGACGTATGAGTGACATTTATTCGATTTATTAAGCAATTAAATTTTGAGATAATTTAAAATGAAAGATTTAAACTATTACAATGTCCGTGCTTTTTCGCTAAATCCATACTTAGTTAAAATATAAAGTTCTTTTAGGTAAGTTAATTATGGGACTTTTGATTGTCATAAATACTGGGTATAAGTTTAAATGCAGGGCATGAAAACTAGATTTTGAACTTTATATAGCTTAGATTATATGCCAATATAATCGCTGGTACAATGATTTTAATCGTGGCTACAGTTCACTCACAAACGAAATTTGTACTCGTGAAGGTCGTCTAAAATTAATTGTGATGCCAGAAAACATTGAAACTGTTCAAAAACTGATCATGAAAGATCATTCTGCGATATAATCGTACTGTAAGATGGAGAGGACCCTAGGCCTTAATTCCACCAGCATATATAAAATATTGCTCGATCATTTAGTCGTGAGAAAGGTTTGTTCTCGTTGGATAACCCATCATTTGACAAAATCTCAGAAAGATGCTCGTGTCGATTGGTGCACACAAATGCTCAGGAAGTACAATGGTGGTGCTTGAAAAGATGTTTACGATGTTGAGTTATACTTGTTCCCGAAGGTCAAAAATAAATTGCGTGGACAACGTTCATGATTTTTGTCGGCGGAAGACGCAGTTGTTGCCTTTAAAAACCATGTTTTAGAGGTGTCTGAAAAATATTGGAAAAAATGTTATGACAAATGGTTCGAACACATGTAAAAGTGTATTAATCATAAAGGAGAATACAATAAAGCAATTTTCAGGGACAAGTTAGTATTTCTTATTATTATAAATAGTGACCCTTGTGTTAGTGGCTTAAGAAATATAGTTTTATGTAGACATGTTTTTGATATATTATAAAAACGCGATAATCAATGCAGAAGTTAACTTTCAGACATCATAACAGAAATATTGCCTCAATATTGTTTCGCGGATGTAGCAAACTAAATAAAATTTTACTAACTTGAAATAGTAAACAATGCAAAATCTCTCTAAAACCTTCACAGGCATGTGTATAATTGTATATTATGTGTTCAATCTTTGAATTACTTTTACTAATTAAAACGGTTTATACTGCATCATTCTATTAAAGGAAAAAAAATATCCAACTAAAATTTAATCTATTTTTTGATAATTTTTATTATTTATCATATTTAGTTACATACCTGTTATAAATATTATATATATATATAATATATATAATAATTTATAATAATAATATAATAATTTATATAATAAGATATATAAATATTTCTGATTTATAAAGTTAACTTGTTAAAAAAACATTTTTTATTGTCACTACCGTTAGGTAAAAGCTTATGGATTTCAGTGGCTTAAAGTTTTTGCTTTCAGACAGTACAGAACCCTTTTATACATAAAAATACTTAAGCAAAATTCATACGCATTTGTGAGCAAAATAACACATAATCTATTGTTATTTTCATGCCGTTTTTATTTATTTATTCCAAGTCAACATTTCTGTTATTCTTGTCAAAATATTGGCCAATTTATATTTAAGGGTCATTTTGTAGGCCATTGTCGAAAGGACCTTTTAAAAGTCTATTTTCAGCCACAACACACTGAACAATCGGCACAGAAGAGTTCTCTAATAGCCATCAAGACGTATGTGCATTACGAAAGGGTTTCATTAATTGTGTACAAAACATTTATTCGATAATCTTAATTTCACAATATAACAATAAAGCTCATAAGCAGACATTTAGGTACAAATTGCCCCTCTTTGCTCCAAGTATGCAATACATAAGATACTACAGATACTTCCCTCAATGCCCTCATAAATGTTCTATACTTCATCTGTAAATGATATTAGATTTTACTTATACTGCTGACAAGAGCAATTTGCACTAGATACTTTGTTTAATTCAAGGATACAAAGGATAGAAGCTGATTGCAATTAATTTTTAGTAGTAAATTTTATTTAACACATCTTTTGTATGCATGCACCCGCAGACATCCCGTAACTCAGCTGTTGCTGTGGCAGAGCGCGCAATTTAAAACCAATAAAAATGTGAAATGTGCTCGGAAGGTAAGCAGAAGTGACGATGTTTGATGTGGCGCAGCATCTTTTCCGACTTAAAATGCTGCACACGATAATGCTGAGTTTTAGGGATGGTGCAAAGAGAGTGTAAATGTGGTGGGAAGTTCGAACCGGAGTTGCATTATCCCAACGGATGAGGTAGTAACTTCAGAGCAAATGAATGTCAATGGAAGCAGATATACGAGTACCAACAATGCCATTACTTACACAAGTGAATAATGATTTTTATTTGTTTTTCGAATGTATTGCTTTTCTTTCGCAGAAACTATTTACTAATAGCTATTTGGCAGACATAGAATACAGTGCAATAAAATAATAAGAGAAAATAATTTAGTAATAGATCGCATTGTATTGAATTGCATATGGTTATGTGGGTAATTGTTAGCTTTACACTCATTAAAACAAAATGTAATAGATCTGGTGTGATCACAGGAAAATTATATAATAATAATGACTAATAAAATAATTTTGTAATAAATCGCGTTAAATGAAAGCATAAGTGCAATACTGCAATTGCACTTTAATTTCGGTATCAACTGCAACTACTATGATACTTCTCGAATGAGTCAGGAAAACAAAATGCTGCGGTTACTTTGATTCTATTGTGGCAGATTTACACGTATGGTTAAATGTTACAAATGACACCTAAGTAACTACCAGTTATACTCAGCAAACAAGCGGTCGG